TTCCGTCTCCGTTTTTGTCATGATTTTGCCGGTCTCTCTTCGACTAATGAGTTTTTATTCTCCCTTTGGTATCTTCCGTCTCCGTTTTAGTCATGATTTTGCCGGTCTCTCTTCGACTAATGAGTTTTTATTCTCCCTTTGTTATCTTCCGTCTCCGTTTTAGCCATTATTATGCCGGTCTCTCTTCGACTTATGCGTTTTTATTCTCCCTTTGTTATCTTCCGTCTCCGTTCTTGTCATGATTTTGTCGGTCTCTCTTCGACTAATGAGTTTTTATTCTCCCTCTGTTATCTTCCGTCTCCGTTTTTGTCATGATTTGCCGGTCTGTCTTCGGCTAATGAGTTTTTATTCTCCCTTTGATATCTTCCGTCTCCGTTTTTGTCATGATTTTGCCGGTCTCTCTTCGGCTAATGAGTTTTTATTCTCCCTTTGATATCTTCCGTCTCCGTTTTTGTCATGATTTTGCCGGTCTCTCTTCGACTAATGATTTTTTATTCTCCCTTTGGTATCTTCCTTCTCTGTTTTTGTGATGAATTGGCCGGTCTTTCTTCGACTAATGAGTTTTTTTTCTCCCTTTGGTATCTTCTGTCTCCGTTTTTGTCATGATTTTGCCGGTCTGTCTTCGACTAATGAGTTTTTATTCTCCCTTTGTTATCTTCCGTCTCCGTTTTAGTTATGATTTTGCCGGTCTGTCTTCGGCTAATGAGTATTTATTCTCCCTTTGATATCTTCCGTCTCCGTTTTTGTCATGATTTTGCCGGTCTCTCTTCGGCTAATGAGTTTTTATTCTCCCTTTGATATCTTCCGTCTCCGTTTTTGTCATGATTTTGCCGGTCTGTCTTCGGCTAATGAGTTTTTATTCTCCCTTTGATATCTTCCGTCTCCGTTTTTGTCATGATTTTGCCGGTCTGTCTTCGGCTAATGAGTTTTTATTCTCCCTTTGGTATCGTCCGTCTCTGTTTTGTCATGATTTTGCCGGTCTGTCTTCGACTAATGAGTTTTTATTCCCCCTTTGATATCTTCCGTCTCCTTTTTAGTCATGATTTTGCCGGTCTCTCTTCGACTAATGAGTTTTTATTCCCCCTTTGATATCTTCCGTCTCCGTTTTTGTCATGATTTTGCCGGTCTCTCTTCGACTAATGAGTTTTTATTCTCCCTCTGTTATCTTCCGTCTCCGTTTTTGTCATGATTTTGCCGGTCTGTCTTCGACTCATGAGTTTTTATTCTCCCTTTGGTATCTTCCGTCCCCTTTTTAGTCATGATTATGCCGGTCTCTTTTCGACTAATGAGTTTTTATTCCCCCTTTGATATCTTCCGTCTCCGTTTTTGTCATGATTTTGCCGGTCTCTCTTCGACTAATGAGTTTTTATTCTCCCTTTGTTATCTTCCGTCTCCGTTTTTGTCATGATTTTGCCGGTCTGTCTTCGACTAATGAGTTTTTATTCTCCCTTTGGTATCTTCCGTCTCCGTTTTTGTCATGATTTTGCCGGTCTCTCTTCGACTAATGAGTTTTTATTCTCCTTTTGATATCTTCCGTCTCCGTTCTTGTCATGATTTTGCCGGTCTCTCTTCGACTAATGAGTTTTTATTCTCCCTTTGGTATCTTCCGTCTCCGTTCTTGTCATGATTTTGCCGGACTCTCTTCGACTAATGAGTTTTTATTCTCCCTTTGGTACCTTCCGTCTCCGTTTTTGTCATGATTTTGCCGGTCTCTCTTCAACTAATGAGTTTTTATTCTCCCTTTGTTATCTTCCGTCTCCGTTTTTGTCATGATTTTGCCGGTCTGTCTTCGACTAATGAGTTTTTATTCTCCCTTTGGTATCTTCCGTCTCCGTTCTTGTCATGATTTTGCCGGACTCTCTTCGACTAATGAGTTTTTATTCTCCCTTTGGTATCTTCCGTCTCCGTTTTTGTCATGATTTTGCCGGTCTCTCTTCGACTAATGAGTTTTGATTCTCCCTTTGGTATCTTCCGTCCCCTTTTTAGTCATGATTTTGCCGGTCTCTCTTCGACTAATGAGTTTTTATTCCCCCTTTGTTATCTTCCGTCTCCGTTTTAGCCATGATTTTGCCGGTCTGTCTTCGACTAATGAGTTTTTATTCCCCCTTTGTTATCTTCCGTCTCCGTTTTTGTCATGATTTTGCCGGTCTCTCTTCGACTAATTAGTTTTTATTCTCCCTTTGGTATCTTCCGTCTCCGTTTTTGTCATGATTTTGCCGGTCTCTCTTCGACTAATGAGTTTTTATTCCCCCTTTGTTATCTTGCGTCTCCGTTTTTGTCATGATTTTGCCGGTCTCTCTTCGACTAATGAGTTTTTAATCTCCCTTTGGTATCTTCCGTCTCTTTTTTTTCCCAATATAATAGTCTACGATGACAGCAATTGTTTTCAATCATGGTATTACGTTGTTTTCAGTGATTATAAAATGACCATTAACCATTAGCCATGTTTCTTGCGTATATAAACGTTTAATTGGTTCACTATACTGAAAATGACGATTGGTCATTAAAAATATTACGACAAGCTTGTTGGTTCAATCTATACTGAAAATGATGATTGGCCATTAAAAATATTAACACAAAATAACAGTTTATATAACACACCGTACAATTAACCCTAATCATTTTGTTGGAGACCCGACGGATAAGATCGTGCGTCTCTGTTTTCATATTACATAAGGGAGGAATTTTTGCAATTTTCCTTTTTATTTCTTCCCTTCTTGAATGAAATAGGCAGTTAATTGTTATAGTTTAATGAATATTATCATAATAACTTAACACAACCAATGATACATTACACTGTCCCATATTTTTATACTGTTGATTTCGGGTTTTAAAAGGGACATATATTATTTTCCCTTTTGATATGACAATTTTTAAACAGATGAACACTAAATAAATATGATCAGTAGATATTTTGTTCATTTTTCAATACTTAAATTAAAACAGTATGTTTTGGTAATGACATTTTACAAGGTACCACCTGATGACGTTGATATATCATCGACCGTCCTAGAATACGACAGCACCTGATTTATTCCAAGTTTCCGTATGCATTTTAAATACAACGAAAACAGACAGGCATTACTACGATTTTGGTCATGTAAATTAAAAGGCTAACCAATAGGCTACTTGTTAGCTAATATATTAACTGTCTGCCGAAAAAAAATATAAGTATATTAGTTATTAGGTTCAGTATACTGAAAATGATGATTGGTCATTCAAAATATTAATACAATATAACAGTTTATATAGCACACTATACAGCCACCTCTTATCGGCTATCTGCTACTAGTAGGTAATATCTTAAATGGCTGCTGACAAAAACATGACAGTCTCATCAAAATACATATCCTGTGGCTAAGCTTTGCTTTGCTTTGTTTATCGAACAAAACTAGAGGATCTCGAAAGATCTTTGAAAACATAAAGTAGAACGGAACGTTTTTAGATAAACAAAGCAAAGCAAAGCTTTGTGAATTACCGGAACAGAAAGTAAAACGGAGTGTTGTCAGCCTATGTCATTGGATGGTCAATTGAGGTTTTGCAATTCAAAGTACGTGTTGAAGGCCGTACTTTGACCTATAATGGTTTACTTTTACAAATTGCGACTATGGTGGAGAGTTGTCTCATTGGCACTCATACCACATCTTCCTATATCTATACACAAATTTCGGCTACAGTAGACATTCTTGATTTTAGATCAGGACCACTGAATTCAACAGATGCTGTCGTTGCTAATGCTATTTATTTATCAGATATCAAATGACGTAGTCATAACAAATATAAAATAATTCAAACGAGAAAACTAGTGGCCTGATTTATGTTCCAAACAATAAACGAAAAAAAAACATAATATACAGCAACAAATGACAACCACTGAATTACAGGGACATTTGGGACAGACACAAACAAAATGTGGCCGGGTTATACATTGATCGATAAGTTTACAAGGATCGTATCTAAATGTTCGGGCTCTATAAACAAGATCAAAGTAAAAATAAAGGATGTGATATCCCGTTTGTATTAAGTTTTCTTAAGTTTAGTCAAGTACAACCAAACTTCCAAGCCCAACTTTGTATCTTTGAAAGAATTTAGTAAAGTTTTTAAGTAATTCTCTAACTAAATAATTTATCAGTGATACATAGATTACATGCATTGAAATCAAAAACGTCACTACAGACATGCGAGTTGGGATATATAAACACCGTAAGACGGGTCCAAAGAAACATCGACGTCCAAAAAAGGAAAATTAACGATAGGGAACAAAAAATCTTCCTCGTTTCGTTAATTTTTGTATATTGTTCCCGTGAGTACTGAAATACATGTATCTAAAACTATGAAAAAAAATTTATTGCTGTTTATATTTGATTTCTTTAAAGTAAGTTTCTTTGGGTAAATTCCGGCAGTGTAATTTCTTGATTATTGTACAAAATATATCATCAAGATAACGGTAAACGTTGTTGAATTTACTAATTAAATGGAGTTTAGACGGTTCGTTACTGAGTTTGGCCATAAACTGTTATTCATAACAATACAGGCTTTCAGGCTTTTTATTAGATGTGGGCAAGGAGAAACAGCCCATCAATATATATATATATACAAAAAAATCTCTATTAAAATTCAGTAGACATAGAATGTACTTTGACGGCAACAGATTTGCCTTACACAGAGTGGTTTAAAATGCAAAAATCAATCGGGAACTATTGAAATAAAAGTTACCAACTACACCTTAAGACGTTTTATCTGTATTCAATTGAAAGCAATCGTTATTCATTTGGCGATAGACCCATAGTTTTGAGCATGCCCAGTTAGTATTTTTTCCGCGTGGGAATAGCAACTGTTTGAGAAAATGTACATAAAAGGGTCAATGACATTCACAATTTTACGGAAACAATCGAACATTAAATAGAAAAGCTTCCTTGATCATTTTATTACATACACACTGTACTTTCTGAATGAAAAAAAAGCTGTTTTCTATTTGATTTAAACCGGAAGGTGTCGCTGTTTTTAAATTTTGATATTATCAATATGCTCGAAAAGAATGACATTAAATGTATTACTATGCAAAAGGAAATAACGTGTACTTTGCTCACTTAGTCACATGTATTTGATTCAGAAAAACTATTAGAACAATGGCTGAAATTACAGTTTCTCAATGGAATGATATGATAACAAAAAGTCTTATACCAAACATTGTTATACTTTCGATTTATATCGTTCTTGGAACATGCGGAAATATACTGGTTTTATCAGTTTATACTTTTCAAATGAAAGGATTGTCAGATGAGAGATATTTCATACCGATTTTATCTGTATTTGACATGGTAGTAACAATCTATTGTGGACTGTTCTTAATAATACAATGTTTTCACCAAGTAACATTTAGTAACAATATATTGTGTAAAACAGCACAATTCTTTGCCGGATTAACTACATTCATTCCGATTCTTTTATTACTTATTATTGCAGTCCAACGATATCTAAAAGTATGTATGCCTCATAAACCGGTAATGTCGCTTCGTGTTAAAAGAATTGCGTTGATACTAACAATTGTTATTTCATTGATATGTGCATTCCCGTTACCGTTCGTTTACGGTTCTGTTCCATTTCACAGCGTCAATTATGGAATAAACGGAACAAATTGTGGCAAATTAAAAGAAGGTCACCAATTAGCAAGGGCCGTATATGCCATTGTGATAGGCTTTCTTGCTGTTGCTACAGTAACAACACTTATTGTCTTATACTCAAGAATCGGATGCACAGTTTTTCGTCAATTCAAATTGAACAAATCGAATAGTAATCGAGTAGAAGTTGGAAAATCGGAGACAAAAACTGACGACGAGGAAGTTTCTGAAGTAGGTCAAAATGGCGGTATACAAACTTCCATCACTTCAGATGGAGATTCAAACATTTCAAATACAAATATTGCCAAAAATCACCAAACAACTCTATCTGGATCCAAAAGAAGACAAAAGAGTAACCGTCGAATAACTCACAAACTGACAATTATGTTTTTTGTTATTACTTTGGTCTTTGTATTAAGTTATTTGCCAAAAGTTGTGTTGCTTATAATTGAAGGATTATACGAAGATTTCTGGGAACAATTATCAGACACTAGAAGATCTGGCGTGCTGTTTATATATGAAATGTTTATTATCAATAATATCGTGAACCCTTTTATTTACGCTTTTATGGATATCAAGTTTCGCAAAGAAGCGACAGTATTTTTAAATCGTGTTTTTCACTGCAAATTTTAATTGTAAATACTTAGACACGTTTTAAATACTAAGCATTATAACTGCTTACTTTACAAAGCATTTACATGTAACATAATCAATAAAGATAAGGCCACACCAAATCAACTTGCTGCACATATTCTTCGGATTTTTATCTGTTACATAAGGTAAATCGCGAGGCTTAGTACTTTTATCTCATTTTCTTTTCTCTGAATTCAAGTTATTGGCCCGGGGAAAAGACTATACCGGTAAAACTGCATGATATTTTTAAGGACTATTTAGAGAAAGCGATAACGTTTTTAATTAAAAAAATCTAAATATGAAACCATGGAGTGAACATTTAAGGAAACAGACGTCATAGAAAAAAATACGGAGATGTGGTATTATTGCCAATGAGACAACTATCAAACAAAGTTCAAATGACGTGGATGTAAGCAACTAAAGGTCACTGTATGGCCTTCAACAATGAACAAAACTCAATACTATATAGTCTTATAAAAAGGACCCAACATGACAAAACGCGAAACAATTCAAATGAAAAAAGGAACGGCCTAATTTCTGACAAAACAACAAACAAAAAACAAATATGCCAGGCAACAACCAAAGACAACCTCTGAATTATAGGCTCATGAAAGTATATATTTGATTTATTTATTCATGTATGGTTTTTACTTTATTCAAGACATTTTGGCAGCTAGATAGTCCAACGAACAAAAAATGTAATAGCTGTGTCATAATAATGTTATTTCGTCATATCGTCACGCACTGAATGATACATTTAGTATAAAGTACAAATAACATCAACAACATGCATAAATCCATTCTCCGCCAAGTACACCTACGACCGCAATAAAGGCCAGAAGATTGAAAACAAGACCGTAAATAAATAAACTCATTATGGAAAGGATAAAAGTTTAATTAAATGATATTCTAATGCCTTATCCGCTAGCGAGTTTTGTATTACCTGCTAATTAAGTTCTCTTTTGTTAGATAATATAGACAAGTGAGGGTCATTATAGAATCCTGTAAACAGCCATACAATTGATCTGGCAATTAATTTGCTTTTAATTCCTTTGAAGCATTAAGGCTTCTGCAAATAAACACTTTCAATGCAAATCCGAAACTACAACCACCATTAGTCATTACTTGTTAGGTAATACAAATCATGCATCTGTAACATTTGTACTTCTTTTTTCTTGACCGAAAAACACTAACATATATTACTGATATCTTGATATACTCCCAGACCACCTTTGTTTTTTATTATGTTTTTCTTATTTTGAAATTTATCTTTTTCAGTATCATATTGTTTGTTTGCCTGGTTTGGTTTTTCTTTGGGTTGGACATTGCTTTGTCAGAGTACATTAAATACGAATCTTTTCAATACGACAGTGATAACCCATCATAATTTAGCCGTGTATACCGAAGAATGATTAAACAAGTCTAAACTGAATTTTACAACGTTCAAACCTATGATTGCGTTGGATAAAAACCGCAATTTTTATACGTGTGCATGCAATACAAATTTCTTGGTAGAGGGGTCTAAATACAGCACAAACAACATTTTCCAAAAGACCAAAAAAGTGAAAAAGTATATTTTAACAAAACGCATTTGACTAACAGGTCGAACAACTGATGTTCTTAAACCCTGCTGACTGCCATTGGCGATTTATTAAATTAATAATTTGTAAGATCCATTTTGTTACATCATGTGATACGTTTATTTGACAATCGCCAATGGCAGTCAGCATTTTTTTCACTTTTTTGGTCCTTTGGAAAATGTTGTTTGTGCTGTATTTAGACCCCTCTACGAAGAATGATTAAATATATCTTTGGAGATAAATATCAACAAAAAGAAGGCACACGCGTCGTTAATTTGCAGATTTGTAACAAACCTCTTTAAACAGTATATCTACGTCAGCAATGCATACGGGTAAATTCATCGCACCTTTCCGAACAACTGATATTTATAGTATGTACTTAATAACAAAAAGGTGTCCGTAACTTTCATGACAGCCCTGGGTGCGTGTGTAAGAACGTGAATATTAATAATGAATTTTTAAAAAATCTAAAGTTTGTGAATCGCAAAATACTTCAAAGTAAAAGGCCGAGTTAAGTTGGTAACGTTAATGTTATTACGTTAACCAAAATTAAATAAGGTGATCGGCATACAGACAGGATAGTCTGTGAAATGCAGTTTTTTTTTATTTTTGTTGGAGAATCCACAAACCAGATAAACAGTTAAAACTAAATAAAAAGAGAATGTATTGTACTATTGAATCTCTAATTAGACGCTATGAGAAAATTTTGTGTTAACGACTTCGGTATTCAAAATGTTAAAGGCTTATTTGATGTGAGATAAGTACGATATATTGTTAAGAGCTGTTATCTTTTTCAAGAAAATTTGATGCTACAATTGTAAATTGGAAACATAAGGTACTAAATTTTAAGGTTTTTGTATAAGGCGCGACTATACACAAAAGATCAAAAGATCATAGAGGTATTGAACATTGTTAAGTCTTGATAAAAATACTAAATTTAAGTATTTAAATGGATGGAATGCTGTGTTTGTTGTCTTACTTTTTGGTTTGTTTTTGTCAGACAACAAATGAAACTACGTGTTTTATGACCTCATCGGTTATTCAAGCAATGTATCGATAACTCTTTTAATTTGTCTATTCGGCGATTATCGATTAATATCAAACACTCAAGTCCACGTAGAGGTAAATCATTTTGTTTTAATGTGCGAGTTCTTTAACTATTTGTTCAGTTCATGTCATTTACTGTCAAGTAGAAGAATAACATAATTTGTTCCTTTATGATATTATATTCCAGTATATTTTGTAAATGTTATAGCATCAAGCACTGTACAGGCATCCCAAATATATGTACATAGTTTGTCCCTTATATTGTGTGGACAAAGTAAACTACATCGCGTTTGACACCAGGTTTTTATTTCTAATGATTATATTGTTGTTTGCCATGATACAATATAATTGTCAGATTATGCCCCTTGTATATGACTTTTGCACCTGAGATCACCCTTGGTTTTTGGAGTGATTCATATTGCTTAGTCTTTAGTTTTCTATGTTGTGTTTTGTGTACAGTTGTTTGTCTTTGGTCTTTTTTATTTTTTGCCATGGCGCAGTCAGCTTAATTTCGACTTGTGAGTTTGAATGTCCCTTTGGTATCTTTCGCCGCACTTTTAGTAATTCTGTCACATATTCGACTATTCACTGGTCAAAAGTAAAGAAACCTATAGACGGCCGATTAGTCAATGACTGGCGTTTTCAAACAGTCTCGGGGAGTTTCTCACCTTATGTTTGTACTGGTTGACTCTTTTGTTTACCACAAAATACATGAACGTTATCGGTGTGAATTTAGTAACTGGGAGAGAAAACAATACATTCCGGAATAATCTGGTGATTAAGTTAATTAAGATGATTATCTCCCAAAACCAGGATATACAGTTTCATTTGGAAACATTTTTTAGATACCAAAAAGAAACTTATTTACCAAGAGCAAAAATCGATACATTTTATATATCGAATTGTTAGAAACGAAAATATTTCAATAGATTTGCAACTGAAATTATTTGATTCTACGATAGAACCAATTCTTTTATATGGTTCTGAGGTTTAGGGTTTTGAGAATTTGAAAAATAATTGAACAGGTGCATTTGAAAGTTTGCAAAAAGAATTTTAAAAGTTCGAAATACTACACACAATTTTATGGTGTATGGGGAATTGGGAAAATTTCCTTTGCAAATTCGAGTTTAATGTAGAATGATTTCATACTGGTGTAAAGTTGTAAACAATAGCAATAAACTCAGTAGTGCTTTGTACAGGCTGATACTATCATTGACAAATCATGGTCATTATGTTTTCAAATGAATTTATTTTGGAGAATCAATATTTAACAAAAATGGTCTAGGATATATTTTCATGAATCAGATTGGCTTTTGTGATACAAATTATCTTCATCGAATATTGAGTGATCATTTTATCACCTCATGGTTTGGCGATATATCAAATTCATCTCGGGGACAATTTTATGGGATATTTAAAAAGGACTTTGGATTAGAACAATATCTGATCAGACTATCTGAACAAAATAGAGGCTGGGTAACAAAATTAAGGACATCGAACTTACGTATTCCAATCGAGACGGGGCATTGGCAAAATATACCAAGACCAGAGAGAATCTGTACTCTATGTCATGAAATTGTTGGTGATGAATTTCATGTTTTATTTATATAGATATAAGAAGATGTGGTATGAGTGCCAATGAGACAACTCTCCATCCAAGTCACAATTTGTAAAAGTAAACCATTATAGTACGGCCTTCAACACGGAGCCTTGGCTCACACCGAATAGCAAGCTATAAAGGGCCCCAAAAATGACTAGTGTAAAACCATTCAAACAGGAAAACCAACGGTCTAATCTATATAAAAAACGAGAAACGAGAAACACTTCAACAAACGACAACCACTGAACATCAGGTTCCTGACTTATGTGAACATGATTCTATTGTTAATTATAGAAACCAATACTTACCTAATATATACTATACTATTAATCCACAATACATTAACATGGCAGGATTATTGTCCATATGTAATATGGAAGTCTACAAACGACTTTCAATTTTTCAAGAAAATTGCTTGTTTATAAAATATTTTACAAATTGATTTCTATATGTTTAAATAGTAATGCATGCTCATTTCGTCATTTTATTGTTTATGTATTATACTTTGACCTCATGTAACATATGTATGTGTCTGAGCGTTATCAATAAATCTTGAATCTTGAAATCTTGAAATCTTGAAAAATATATCTTAAAGTATCTTCTCATCACCAAATATATATTAGGTACGTAGAAGACATGTAATAGCATCACACATCAAATACATTTAATGAAGATACAATACATACAAAAAACAATATTAATTTATTCAGAAGCAAATACTCGCTTTCTCTTAATTCATATAGATTTAAATTCATTTATGAGATCTGTCCCGTTTGTAACAGACCCTACTTAAGTGAAGAGTATAATATTTGACCTTATTAAACTTGTTTTTATAGATTCAAGTTTTCAAAAGTTTCTGCGATCGACGCTTTCACTCTTCAGCTTCG